TTTACTAAGTATATAGTGTTGCTTTATGATAGCTACCCAGAACATTATCGACCCTATTCGTATTTTTATAATATACATGCCTTTTAATAACTGTCATAATAAGGAATACTGTAATTACCACTCTTATATAGCTCTGTATTTTTGTGAAATTTAGAGTCAACAGGACTATGTGAAGTATATGCTTAGTGCCTACAGAGAGAATTAAATTAATTCATCACTTATAGACATGAAGTGGAAAACAAGGTAAGTTGGCAGGACTGTTTGCTTGTTGTTTGTTTCATAACCAGCTATAAAGATTTTTCTTGCAATCTTAAATATTTTAAAACTGCTAGTAGGAGCATCATATCAATTTCAACACTGAAAATAAAATCTCTCAGTTTATAGGATGACACAGTCAGAATTTGTCAGGAATAAGAACAGTCTAGCGGTTATGAAATCCCATGCCTTTCCTCCCTTTTAAGCCCTATGATTTCCATGGAGAATGTCCAGACTGTGAGTTCAGCTCAGTGGAGGAGTGCTTGCCTGTAAGTATGAAGCCTTGGAGTTGCTGTGGAACAGCAAAAGGGGAAGCATCAGACTCATAAGGAAGCATGAGAGCTATGGACTTCTAGAAACCCACCTTCATCTCCCATCTTGCTCTCCTTTAAGCCACACCAGAGTTAGTACCTGTTAACGCTTATTTTCTGAAAATCAAAAGAAATCATATTTTTCTAAGGCTAGATCTTTGAAAGTAACATCCAGACCAGAACCCCAGGAAACAGAGAAGCATCAGATGAAAACTATCCCCTCAGGGTGATGCAAGCCCTCCTTTATGCTTTCCTACAAAATGCTTCAGCAACAACAGAATGACTTGTGGGACTGTTAGCTCCTTCGAGAGTCCTGCAGGTTGCTGGGTGAGGAGGAGTGTGGGACTCATTGAGAGATACCAGCCAGACATTGAAACCCTCTGCCTCCTGCAGTCTACATGCAGACTGGAAATTGAAGAGATGTCTCAAAAATATCATCTCCTCCTTTGCCTGGTGGGATATCTTTATCCTTGAGCAATTTCTCCAAATGACAGCCTTCAGTCTCTGAAAATGTAAAATTGCCTTTCGAGTCAACGCAAATGAGGACTAAATCCATTCATTTTTTTTTCTCTCCGGATTCTCATTCGCTTCTAGCTGTAGGAATTGTCAGAAATGCAGGACTGATGAAAAGTGTGTAACCATATTGCCCAGATGTTCAAGTTGTCACAGAGAGCAACTTTGTTGTTGTTCTTGAGTTCAGTGTGAGCAAAGCTGAGCTGTGGAAATGATCAGGTCTAGAGTTCTCTGACAGATATTTCTTATTCTGAATGATTTTTCATTATTTTTCTTTTGAGTTCTAAAGAAAATACCAAAACCTACTCAGATTTGATCTGTTTTTCAGAACCTTGTTTTTGCCATTACTAGCCATGGAGAAGCATGATTGATAGGCAGTACAGGACTCTGGTCTTTGGTTTGTTGTCACTTGTCTTTGTAACTCTTAGGACAGTCAAGACTGATAGGAAAGTATTCTAAACTCTCAATGGCAGAATACAAACTGCAGCAGTCAGAGACCTTGGAAAATATAACGGAGACCTGTCAAACATGGCTAGCTGACAACAAAGAGGAAGTGCACTCACCAAAGTGTGTCTCGAAAGAAAACCAATGATCTACGTCGGGAGTAACCAGGAAAGCAAACAAACAAACAAACAGCAACGAACTGCTAGGAAATACAAATCTAATGTTTCTTTTATGATGATGAGCCAACAGAAAAAGATGAGAAATGAGTGAAAATATCCAAGTCTGTTGATATGAAAACACCACTCTGAATGAAATGAAGAGAGCATTCATTCTCAATCCAGACATGAATGACCATGCCTAGGAACATAACAGAACCAGGTTAGTCCAAACAGCACGTTTCAATATGGTAAACCTTACCTGACTTTTTTTTTTTTTTGCACTTACACAGTAGAACAGAGCTACAAGTCAAGATATTTTTCAAATACGTTGGAAGGATGGATGTCAGTTAGGCAGGTTACAGCAAAGTGGAAGAATGTCTCCTATTGATCTCAGATGCTCTCTGATGACATTCTTAGCTTTTGGGTTGGTAGAAGATAGTAGTTTGTGAATACAACATTGCAAAAGGTTTTACTGATAGTTGCATGGATGGTAAGTCAGGCACCTGTGGGAAATGAATGGCTATGCAGCAACAATAATTTGGCTCTGGATCAACAACATTCCTGCTCTCAAGGATCAAAAGACATTAATCTGCCAATTAGCCTTGTAGCCTCTTTAAAACAGGTGTGGCTCTTGCCTAGGTCCCTCCCAAACTTCAAGTCATTTAAAGTTTTCCCCCCTACCAAAACAAACAACTGTAGGGAAAATTAAGTAAAGGTTGCCGAATACAAAAAAATAAAATAAAATAAAAAATTAGAGAACACAGTTTTTAGTTCAACTACTTACAGAAAGTCATATGAGATAGCTTCCAGCACAGCTCTGCTAGAAATCACAAGGGGAATGAATTACTCTCTTCTCCCAAATGTGTGCCATTCACACCTAAGCGTTGTTGTTTTTTTTTTTTTTTTTTTTTTTTTTTTTTTTTTTTTTTTTTTTTTTTCAAAGCGGTTCTGAGGTAGCTTACAAGGCCAAACATAGTAAGCTATAGTGAGTTCATGAAGAAAAGGAGAAAAGGGGAACCACAGGCAATGCTAATTGAACAAGTAGAGTCTAGTATCTGAATGACAAAAAAAAGGTCTGGTACATTCTTCTCGAAGTCAATGACAGGCTTGATTCTGAATATCCTAAGAGCAAGGCAAAATCTGAAGGCTGACCGAGTATGCTTGATAGTGTCTACAAGGTAAAAGCGAGAAAGAAGCAGACAGGAGCAAAAGCACACACCTTTGATCCTAGCATCAGGAGGCAGGAGGAGACAGATCTCTGGGAGCTGAGGTCCATTCTGATCTACACAGTAGAGTCCAGAGCAGCCAGACCTACAGAGCAAAACCTTACCTCAGATATAAATTAATAAAAAATAAATTTTCTGTAAAAAACAACAATACAGTATCATCTGCCCCAGGAGTGCTCACGAATAAAACATGTGTCACACAATAAAACTCAAAGGGTGTGCCTGAGAAAAGCTATACAGATATACCTTACGCTACATTTCAACAGGAAAAATAGAGGATACAGTATATGAATCACATGAATATAGATTTACCTGTAAATGGATAGCCTAGAACCTTACAGAGTGTTGCTTAACATATCACAGACATTTTTGCTGTTATTTTCGTGTTTTGTGGCTATCACCATGGTGATTTGACTGTCTGTCAATATCCACATTGGTAAGGTTATCCAGGCTATGAAGGAGGGTGAGATTCCTTTCCCAAACAGAACACTGGTATAAAGCCCACCTTGCAAGGAGCACACAGAGTATAGCCAACCCCTCCTCACTATTTGTTTATTTCACGGTGATATTTCTGAACTTGAGTCTGAATGCCTTTAGGCTGGAAATTCATTCTCCAGTTTGCCTGTCATTCCTTCCTACTTCTGGCCGTGGTCTTATTTACATTCTCAGTGGAGCCTCTCTAGAAATTTGAGTTTGAGACCCTTGGTATGGGACTCGGTAAAACAAACTGTTTCATAAACTTCATGTCTGCTCCTCTCTAGCAGCTGCTTTGAGGAATACCAAAGGAACAATGACTCCACTTCCAGGCAGCTGAATATGTTGGGGAAGATAATAGCAAAACACTTAAGAGTGTATTCTACGACCGTAACAATAACTGTTCTATAGATTTTATGGCTCTTTATATTTTAGCAATCAACTTCACATTCATCACTGCAGTTGTCTCTTCCAGGAGTCCCGTGAAACAATCAAACTAGGAATTATGACTCAGATTTTTTTTTTTTAGACAAAAACTCTGATTTCCAAAATTGCCAAATCACCTTATCTTAGGGCACAGTGTTCACAGCTTCATACCACGCACAGGACCATACAAAGAGACATTTCATAAATATTTTAACAAGTAATATTGAAGAGAATGCTTGACAATATCCACTTTGACTCATAAAAATGGGTGATTAAAAGATTACAGATTGGAATGATCATAATGAGCCACAAACACTGTACAATACTCTAAATTTGTGAACTAGAGAAAAGCATCATACTAAGTATAACCCTACCCTATATGCTTTTAATATATAGAAAATGTTAAAAATAGAGGCCACCTAAAAATTTAGACGCAAATACGATAGTCCCAAAGTCTTCCTGAAAGGAATAGTGTTTACTCTTTTTCCCCAGAAAAAGTAAATTACTCAGGAAATACAACTCTAGAGTTCAAACCATTCAAAGACAAAAGAAAAAAAAATCAAGGCTATAAGTGCATTTATTGTAATATTCTCTTACAACAGAATAATATTAGAAACTGCCTTTGTGCCCTCTGACCAGAGCTAATTGAACTATGGTACATCTGTACATTTATAGAAGAAAAATGGAAATTTATATGCTAAATGGGTAATTTTTAGTCATCTCTGCAAAGTGAATATGCATTATATATGTTTGCGTGTTTCTATATGTATATAGTCTACATATGCAAACACAGGTATTTTTACAGAAAGTTACCAATATTTACTTGTACACATGAATGCATTCTTTTTTAAGAGTCAGTCGTACTTTATTTTATGTGTGTGGATGTTTTGCCTGCATGTATGCCTGTGCACCACATGCGTGTACTGCCCATGGAAGCCAGAAGAGGGCATTGGATCCCCTGGAACTGAGTTACAGAGAGTTGCTCCCTGCTGTGAGGGTGTTGAGAATCAAACTCAGGTGCTCTAGAAGACCAATCAGTACTCTTTTTTTTTTTTTTAAAGGTGCACATAGAGTTTTATTGTTCTATCATGACAATTTCAGGTACATTCCAGGTGTTGTCACCATGAATTCTAATCTCTGATATCCTGAATGTTTTCATAAACAAGCAAGTAGATTGCTGGAAATTGATGGCATCATGAAGATGGATGATTTGATGTGGATGCCGATGGAGTAGATGCTACCCTTTCCTTGTATATTGGTAACTCTGATTCACCTACTGGTTTTGAGTCAGAATAGGTAGATGAACTGGATGAAAAATGAGGATAGCCAGGTTGAAAAGGAGAAGGCTCCGCTTGCATTTCAATACAACTGTTCCACAAGTGAGACACATCTCTGTGGTTTTGAGAAATAGAGGTTATAATGAAATTCACAGTGTTGTCATTTGCTTGAGTGTAGAGTCTCTGTGAGTCCATATGAAGAGAGGACACCTCCTTTAAGGGAGCAGGGCACTGTGCTAGCATTTCCTCAGGGGGTCTAAAGGAACTTGATGTTGCAAGAGGAAAGTCACCTCTCATCATATCCATTGTATCAGAACCTCCTTGGGAGACAGAAGGCTTCTGTCTCAGATATACATTTGAAACACGAGGGCCAGACAACAGATTTCTCTCACTGGTTCGGACAGCTACACCCAAACTGTGGTCATCCATGTTGCCCAAGTCTGGACTAAAGTGTTTGTTCTTGAAATCTGGAAGCGATGGAGCAGCTCCTCGAGAAGCCGTTTTAATCCCTATTCTCCTTTTCATTCTTTCTATAAGATGGGGACAGTCTCTCACAAAGTTTGGATTCTGATAAAACTGTAACTTACATGAGGCAGAGACTCCTTTTTCTTCAGCCAGAAAGTCAGGGAGAGAAGCAGATCTCTGGAAATTCTGTCTCATTTTTCTAAATCCATACAGATTAAGCTGTCGAACCAAACTCTTCATGCTATCGGTTTCAAATATTCTGAAGGGGGCCTTTCTTTCCAACACTTCCTTCTTGAAGAGTTCTTCATTAATCACGATGTAAGTCCCATCTTCATCCCACCAAATAGACTTAAATTTGTCACTTCCCACTATTTTCCAAAGTTTTCTGGGGAAGGTCATAGAAAACAAATTACTGTCTTCATCTGGTTCTGAGGCACAGAGGGTATGAGGTGGCCTCTTTATCAAGAATCGCTGAGCCAACACCTGAAAGGCACTTTCCTCAATAATAGCCCATAAGTCTGAGTCCTTCTGACCCGTGTTGTCACACAGAGGATGACTGGAAGAGGGTTCTGAATCCGTTGGTAGATCATTAGGGGAAACATCCAGTGTTTCTGAAGGGGCCTCAGCCATATCCTGCACGCTTTACTTACAGACTTCCCATCTGAATGGCTTTGTATTCTGCAGCTTTTATTGGCACTGCAGTAGTCCTACACAGATGGAAGTAAGTGATGACACATAAAGGCAGTCAATCTGATAGCTATGACATCATAAAATGACTTAGGGTTCCTGGTGATCACTGCATAACATTATGCCAAAAGTGTTCCTGTCCTATGCAAAAATGTTCCCAGTAAAGCAAGGGTAGCCCCTGACTTACTGAGGATTATTTCAAAAATCTCATTCCTAAAGACACTTTTCCCCTTTTAAAATTAGACTTAATAGTATTTAAAAGAGGTTTTTATAATTTTAAATATACTTTGATCATATTCTTTCCCCAAGTCTTTCCAGATCTTCCTTCTCCTTACCCACCCAACTTTGAGTTCTTTCTTAAGAAGGAAAAAAAAATCACAAGCAAAGGAACAATATAACAAACCCCCAAAAGTATGAAAAACAAAATAAAACACAAACCAAAAGGTAAAACAAAACAAAACAAACAATAAAACCCCATCAAACTGTAACCAAATAAAGTCATACCAAAAAAAGCTGTAGAGTCCATTATATCCTGGTCAACAACTGAATATGAGGCCTGCCCTGGTTTGGTTGATATACCAAGTGTCTCTCCATTAAAGACAAGCACTTTTCCCTCTCCCAGTAGGTATAAATGACAATTCACTTATTAGCAATTTCCCTAGTCCAACCAGTTCTTTTAAGCTCTGAGGCATCTTTCAAGCCCTTAAATGTTTAATTTTTATATATAATGTTCTCTCCAGCCCTAACATACTTGCATTCTTCGATTTATTTTATATATGTATAAGGGAATAAATAGCTGTGCATATACATACACTTAGCTATATTTGCAAAAGTGAGAAAAATGCTAGCAATATAAGTCAAAACTAATGAAAATGGTAACTCTGGATACAGAGTAGAGCAGATAGGGCAGAAGTGAGACCCTTATTAAGAGCAAACACAGCAGCGGGCACAGAGCCATCAGAGCATTAGATGCGTAACTCATCTCAAGAATGACTTGGTGCTGGTAGCCATGGTGGGTTGAAGAAAGTAGTTGGATAAGTGGACCTGTGATTGCCATGAGAGCATCCTGCAATGAGGTGAGTACCCCGAGGAGGTCAAACCCGCCATTCCTGCTAAAAAAAAAAAAAAAAAAAGGGTGCGGGAGGATCACTTTATGCATCCATCAGGCAGTAACTAGTCCTTACTTCCTGCGTCCATCTAGATGGCAGCGTGAAATGAGACTGTTTCACAAATAAATGAAGGAGGTTACAGACTGTGTCCTTACCACAGTTTTTATAAACCTAAAGTGTCCTGACCTCATCAGGTAGATATTAATTAACCCACTCCTGTTTACTGAGCAGGAAAAACGGATGATAGCGGAAGGGAAGGGAAGTAGATAAAAACAAAGAACCGTCTTTGAAAAACACGGAGTAAACGTGAGAATGGGGAAGTTATGGGACAAGTTAACAAAACAACAAACTGGTATTTTTCCTGGGCTGGAAGCTCAGGTGACTCTAGGCAAGGTGTGACGTGGAGGGATGGGAAGGAACGTGATTTACTGAGTGTACTACGCTACGGTTTTTAGCTTGGGTTTTTGTGGTTCTCCCAACAGTGCAGCGGGTGGGAGGCTCTCTCTGACTCTTAGGCCTGCTCTTGGGGCCCTTTGCCTCCTACTGGGCTGCCTCATTCCCCCTTGACATGAGAGCATGTGCCAGTCGTATTGTAATTTGTTATGCCATGCTCACTTGATATTCCTAGGAGGCTTGTTCTTTTCTGAAGGAAAATGGAGGCAGAGGAGGAGAAGGAGAAGGAAGAGGAGGAGGGAATCTTTAAGAGAGGGGAGGGGGTGGTGCTGGTGGTGATGATGATGGTGGTGGTGGTGGAGATGAAACTGGGAGGAGAGAAGGCAGGGAAAGTGCAGCCAGGATTAATATATGAGAAATTTTTTTTTAAATAGCAAGTAATAGAATATTCTCAACTGACTTTACTTTTTTGGATAACATCATTTTAATAAAAAACATAAACTTAGCCAACTAAGTAGCAAAAGTACTTGACTGAAAACAGGATTAAATATGCCAAGGTGAAACTGTAAGATTTAAATGATCAGAATCTTTTCAACAGGTGATGCTGAAATAATTTGACATCTGAAAGGACTGAACATGCCACAGCTGGAAGAAGGGATGGACGGAGAGAGGGAGGGAGGAGGGAGGGAAGAAGGGCAGGAGAAAAGGAGGGAGGGACAGAGGGACAGAAGGGGAGGAGAAAGAGAGAGAAAATATTGAAACACAGTTACTTGCTCCACAAAACTCACTAAAACTGCATCACAGACCTCGATGTGAAATGTGAGACTGTGAAATTCCAACAGATAACATGGAAAAAAAAAATCTAAGCAGCCTTAATTTTAGTGAAAGAGTTGACAAATGGGACTTCATCTCTGCAAAAATCATCCAAGAGAATGACAAGATACACTACAATCTAGAGGGAAAAACCTGTAAAAGACGTATATAATAAAAGGTGCACAAAACGTCCTAAAACTCGACAATAAGAAAAAAATCCCAATTTAAAAGAATTAAAAAACTAACACAGACACTTCACTAATGAATAAACAAAGGAAGTAAATGGAAATATAAAATGATTACATCATATTTCATCAGAAAAATGAAGATTAAAAGAGCAATGGGATGCTACTTACATGCCAAGAACAATGGCCCCATTGCAGAGCACTGACAAGAGCTAAGGGACGCCGCTAATGGTGCATCGCATCGTGTAGCGTTCTTAGATGTCAGCTATGATAGGAGGGCTCCAGGGGTATAGAAGTGACTCTGCTTTGTTGGTCTCCTTGTGGAGCTCCTGTCCCCTCCAGATATCAAATCTAGGCTCGGGGTTCCTGCAGAGACTAATGAATCAGAATCAACCAAAGACCATGCACGGAGAGGGCCTAGACACCCTACTCAGATGTAGCCAGAGATGACTCAGATGGTCATCTCTGTCTCCATGTAGGTTCCCTAGTAAGGGGAGCAGGGGCTGTCTCTGATATGGACTCAGTGGCCGACTCTTTGATCAACTACCCCTGGTGAGGTGGCCTAAGTAGGCCACCAAGAAAGAGGGTCCATCCAGTCCTGATAAGACCTGACAGGCTGGGGTCAGACAGAAGGGAAGGAGACTTCTACTCTCACTGGACTAGGGGAGGGACATGGAGTAGGAGAAGGAAGGAGAGTAGGATAGGGAGGGGTCGAGGGAGGGGGCTACAGCTGGGATACAAAGTGAATAAATTGTAATAAAAATTAAAAAAAAAAAGAAGTGGCTCTTCTCTTCCCATTGACTGTGGTGGCAAGGCTTCAGAACGACTAGGGCTCTCACCCACTGCTGCTGAAAATTCAAAATATTATTGCCACTTTGCAATTCTAGGTGTACTCTTACCATACAGGCAGGACACTCCCAAGGAGTTGAAAACTTAGGTTTCACACAAAACCTTGCTCATGCACACTTTTGGCGGCTTTACTCAACTGCCAAAACTTGAAAGCAACCAAGGTGTCCCCAAGTGGGTGAGAGGATTTGGTATTCCAAACATTTTGAAAGTGACAAAATGAGGAGATGGTGGAGAAAAAAAGGGGGCGATGGTTTCAGGGCTGATGAGAGTGGAGGGTGACAAGGGCTGTGTGGGATGGTGGAAGCATCCTGGGTGAGACCATGTTTGTATCTTAATCCATAGGAAGGTGCAGAAATCTCAAGTGTGCTTCTGCAGGTCACCAGCAAGGGACGATAATGATGGACTGGCTGTGGGCACAGTGGCAGAAACACACAAGACAGCTCTGTGCCTTCCCCTGTATGAAGAGTGTAAAATGGCTCTAAAAATCTATTTTTTAAAGTAAAAAAAAAAAAAAAAAAAAAAAACTTGTCTGATTGGGCCTTTTATAATGATCCAAAGCAAACACTAGCAGTTAGTTAGACCTTACTGTGTCTTAAGTGGGTGTGTAAAATTTGCCTGGATGTAATCTTCTGCTGTTTGTCCATTGCTAGAGGAAGCCAGAAACTTGTGTTATATGGATGTTTATGGGAGGATCAATTTAATGTCACCATGTCTCTTGTCACCCAGTTCAGTGGGTTTTGCTTGTGTGAAAGTCTGCGCAAACTGTTGACAACAAAGAAGACTCACAAAAATCATCTAGAGAGAGAAGTAACGTATGTAAACTTCAAGGGTAACTAGAAATGTGAGCTCCATATATTGATGTCAGGGGCAAGGCAAAGGGGGAAATGTTACATGGAGAAACTGAAAAAAAAAAAAATCTGATAGAAGAAAATTTACCAGGAGTTCAAGATTAAGTGACTTCAGTACAGGCATCCCGTCAAGCACCCAGCAGCTATAGAGATTTTCAAACATACTTACTTAATGTTCAGTTGCTGAGTCTACCATTATCTTTTAGACTGTCTAAAGAGAAATATTTTTCATCTTGTCCCCTGTGTTTTAAAAAGACACTTAAAAAGTAAATACTTATATTAAAAAAAAAAAAAAAAGTTTACAAAATTGCTAACAGCCACGCACCAGGAAGCTGAACTTTCAGATAAACTTCAACGTGACAGGGGGACCCCAGGGCCGATCTCTAGCTTAAAAACAGATCAAGCTGAAGGTCATATGTAAACAAATGTGTTTGTGCCTTTTTCTCTGTGCATTAAATTTCCCTTGTTCCTCTAACAGGATGAAAATACAGTATTTTAAGCACCTGTGATCTTTTTTTAAACCAAGTTTTCTTTAGAATATGAGAAGTTACAAAGATTAATATTAAATCTAGACCCACGGGTTTTGGTTACAGTTTTATACACATATCCTAATCTAAATCTCAGTTAAATGAACCATCTTTAATAAGCTTTGCTAGAATTAGTCTCACATAAATGTTCACCTCTTCTGCATGTGAAACCGCTGTCCACAGATTGCCAATAACCGTCTAATCTTTTCTTGAATGAAG